GGAGTTATGCCGTAACACACATAAAAAAAAATAAAAAAAAAATATACCGACGAATTGAATACCTCCTTCTTTTGGGAAGTCGGTCAAAAAACCCTACACTCTCGTCAGACTTTAGGCTATATATTTTTACGCTATTAAACTTGGGGGATAAAATTAATCGGAAAAAACCCTAATGTGGGAAAGAGACCATAAGTTGCTGCCAATATGAAGGAAACAAGGTTGCCATAATAAGGTAATTGGTTTGACATTTGCTATTGATAATTTGACAAATATAAACAATGAAATTAAAATTTTCATAATTTCATGCGGATGAAGCCATGGTACAGCTAGTTATTAATACTAGCTGTTCCCCTGCGACTTCACCCGCATAAAATTATGAATATTTCAATTCCATTGTTTACGACAATCTATTTTATGATAATCCATGGCCAACCTTCCTTAATGTTGGCAGCTAGTTTATGGTCCGTTTCCCACATGAAGGTTTTTCCAATTCATTTATCCCCCAAGTTAAATAGCGTGAAAATATAGCCTAAAGCGTGATGTAAGTGTAGGGCTTTTTATTAAAGAAAGAATTATTTCAAAATATGGTGTAATTGCTGACATCTTAGGTAACAAAGAAGTGTGTTTACGCTTTATTATAATAGTATAGATATTAGATGAAGGTCGTAGTGGAAAAGACCAGTAAAAAAAACTCACCGTAACTCTAGGAGGTGTCATATGAACATTTAATTGACCACCAACTAATAAACGTACAGTCGCTGTAAAGCTGAAAAAAAAAACACAAAAAATAAAAAAAACTGAAAAAAATGCAATTCAAGACGATTTTAATAGTTTTTTTTTTCAAATTTAATCCTTAAATCCATATTGTTGGCAGTATACAAACAAAAATTTTTTTTTTTTTGAAACCGAGATTTTTTTTTAATAATTTTATCCTTAATCTGTAACTCAAAACCTACACTGTAATGATTTCATAATAAAATAAAAAAAAATCATGCATTTAAGGGTTGACGATTTTTTTCCTTGTTCGACATCCCTATTTTACCAAAAAATACACTCTTCCAAAAAAAAAAAATAAAAAACCGAAAATAGTGAAAAATTGCTTATAAATCTATAAGAATTTATAATTCTGACTACTATAGATAAACATTAGAAACAATTTTATTTTTAATTTTCTAAAAGTTCACATACAGGGATGTAGATTAAGTGACGTGTTAAAATATTTACGAAGGACATATTTATTAAACAAAAAATATAATTTTACTAAGATCAAAATCATTGAATTTTGGGCTTAAACTATAAAGATTAAAATAACTGTTATATTCATTCTAGATCACCCTGTATAATTGAATGACTTACCGAGTGTTGGTCTTCATAACTTGAGGCGGCTGCTTCTCTATCACGAAGGTGGAGGTCACAAGGGTGGACAGCAAGCTTGTCACCTGAAAAAAATTGATGAACGATAAAATGTTGAAACATATACAAATTTAAAAGTTGAACGAACGACGAAACCTTAGTGAACTGATGAGGAATGAGTATTAGAGTTGAATGAATGATTTAATATGTGTTGAATGATTGAATGATTTAATATATGATTAAACTTTAGAGAATCAATTACAAAAAAAGTTTACGTTGAATGAATGATTTAACATTCATCCAACATACGATTGTGGACGTTTAAGACATTATAAGTCTAGGGTTGAATTACCCTTAATTGCAAGATTTTTTTTAAATACCATAAATTGAACATAGATTAACTGAAAAAATAAAAAAAATGATTTTTCAATATAGTCTATTGGGTAAGTAAGAAAAGACTGATGTATAAATCATGGATTCAGCCATTCGGTCATTAACCAAATAACCGAATGACTGAATGAATTCGCTTTTTTAATACTAATATGATTGCTTTGTTATTTTCTATTATGTTATGTGTGGTAGTGCCCGCTTTAACATCTTAGCACTGCAGAGCTCGCCCCCAATACCACGACCACACAGACAGGTGTGAAGTGGAAGCAATTCCACGTACTGATGAGTGTGGTGCCTTTCTCTTTACCACCCTTTTCTTATGAGAGGATGGGAAGGGGAAGTGAATTTGACAGTGGAGACGCATGGGAAGGTGAAATGTCCTCTTTATGTGCGTCTCCGTCAATGAAGGGTAGGCAGCGCTGCAATTGCGGATGTCTGGGCAGTCGCTTCACCATTTTGGCGGATTCAGGTGGCCGCTCGTTTGCCACCTGTTATAAAAAAATGTTTTTTTTTTTTGTTTTTTATACCTGTTTACTCATATCGTCTAACATTTCGACTAGATGCGGTTGCCTCAACTCGACTATCGTCTTGCTGTTGATTCTCGCGACGTTGTTCACTTGCTGGCGACTCGTCCAGATGAGATCGGCGAGTAGCTCGCACCACTCCTGGATCGTGTTCAAGTTGGATTGCATTGGGACACCGTTCCCGCTCAATTGCTGTTCGCGTTTCCATCTTGAATTAATTTTACTATACTATAGTAATTTTTTTAAAAATTTTTTTTTTCACCAAGAAAAATTTTAATTGACAAAAAATTATGGAATTAACAAAAAAATATACTGAAGTTATCAAATTATTAATTAATTTAAATAGAATTAACCAAAAAAAATACTGTGAATTACAAAAAAAAATCAATGAAATGTACAAAAAAATGTAGTTAACAAAAAAATTACACTGAAATTAACAAAGAAAGATTTTTTATACTTAAAAAAATAGAAAAATGCTGTTTTTTTTATTTTTAAAATGACTAAAATTTACTAATAATCCACAATAACCGGGAATATTGTTGTTTTTCATTATTTTTCACGATTTTTTTCCAATTTTTTTTACTTATATTATTGTACTAACTTGATCAACTCCTCATCCAGCACTTGGCTCTGCAACTGCCTCAAGTTTGCGATATTATCCTTCATACGATCTACCAACTCCATTTGAGATTGGTTTATCTGAGCCACCTGGAAGTAAATAATTCGTACCAGAGAAGGGTAGATTTGAAGACACAGAAAACATTCTGTGTCCCCTCCTCTGTCGATTAAATGCAAAAGTTTGTGGTTCTATTTCGCAGAATTTCAATGGCTTTATGGTATATTAATCTATATCTGTACTAATATTATAAAGAGGAAAGGTTTGTATTTTTGTATGTATTGAAATAACTCAAAAACTACTGGGACAATTTTGAAAATTCTTTCACCATTAGAAAGCCACGTTATCAGTGAGTAACGTAGGCTATATTTTTTATTATTTTTTAATTTCACGCGGGCGAAGTCGCGAGCAACAGCTAGTTGTTCATAACTTCGTCCACGTAGAATAGAAAAAAACATAGCCCATGTTACTCACAGATAAATTACCTTACTAAGGGTGAAAGAATTTTTAAAATCAGCCCAGTAGTTTTTGAGTTATTTCAAATCATACAAAAATACAAACATTTCCTCTTTATTATTGGTAAATATTAATTTAAATAAAAACACTATGCCAATTAATTGTGTTATTTACAAGAGGGGTAAAAACCATGGAATAAAAAATGACCACCAAATTTAACCCCTTAAAACCTCTGAAAACAAAAACATATACAAAACCCTTTAAAATTTGATCTTTTTAAGTGTACAAAACTACTTAAATGTATTAGGTTTCCTAAAACATGCACACGTCCTCATAAATTATGTAATAGACCGCCTAAAAATTTTACAAAACCACAAAAGGACTTTAAGATGTCTGAAATACACACAAGACCCCCTAAAAGACGCCTAAAACCTAATACATGTACAAGACCCCCTAAAAAGTTGAAAGACCCCCAAAAAGTAACCTATTCCCCTTAAAATCCCACACCCCCTTTCTTCCACTTACCAGAGCATTAAGTTTCCTCTCCATATCTTCAATCTGGACACGCAAATGTGCCTCCAGTTCCCGACGCTCCGCAGTTATAGGTCCTGATTGCTGGAGGTAGTTAATATGACCTAATAACACATAAAAAAAATAAAAAAATACAGACATATGACTCCTTCTTTTGGGAAATCGGTCAAAAAGTAACGATCGATATCTTTTTTTATTTATTTACTGGCTTATTTATATTTAAAACATAATAAAACTAGCTATTTCGTCCGCATGTTCGGTATTAGAAAACATACGAACTATATAAATAACAAAAAGATACGTATCCCTCGGGAACATGACATTTCTCGGGGATGAAGCTTACCCCATGTGTACTCCACACTTTGTTTTATATCTGTGACAAATTTCAATAAGATATGTTGAACCGTTGCAGAATGATCGAGTAAACATTAAAAAACTAAATTAATGAATCCCACGGGAACCGTAACTATTCCCGGGATAAAAAGTAACCTATGTGTTCTTCCAGACTACGCTCTAAACCTATGCCGAATTTCATAGAGATCCGTTCAGCAGTTTAGGCTACAAACGCTAACAAACATCCATCCATCGTAACTAAAAATAAAAGAATTTTTGATATAAGTGCAATAGTTTTTGAGTTTATTCCTTCCATACATAAATAGAAGAAATATTTCCTCTTTAAATTAGCACTAGCTGTTGCTTGTGATTTCGCCCGAGTGAAATTAAAATAAATAAAAATATATAGCTTATGTCACTCACAGATAAATTACAATTCTAATGGTGAAAGAATTTTTGAAATACGTCCAGTAGTTTTAACGTGAATCGAATACATACAAAAATCCATAAATACAAATATTTATTATTTTAATAGGTATAAGAAAATATGAACTATATAAGTTTGTATTTTATAATATTCCCTCCCCTTTTGGAGAGTCGAAACCTAACCAAAACCATCATTAATCCCCCTCTTAATTATCAACCCCTTAACCATCCGCCGGTGACGTCCCTGTATTTATAAGATTTAGGGCTTGTCCCACCACTGGCTGATAGAGGCCCAGATAGCTTACGTCACTCAGATAAGGTAAAAAAATCCGATATTTCAAATATTAGACGTTGGGTTATTATCAGACAATTTACAATTTGGTGGAAGAGGTCTTTAATTTTTCATTTACAACATACTAGCTTTCACCCGCGACTCTACCCGTAGAATTAAAAAAATTTATAATAGCAAAAAGGTGTGAAAGTTTAGATGTATGTCTGTATCCAAAGCTGACCGGATCTCGACGATTGTCATACATGTAGATAGTTTGGAACACATAGGAAAGAGGTAGTTTATATATTTTTTTTTTTTATTTATTAAGATAAACCAACAGGACAAAATTATAACACATACATCTTTACACAATACAATAAGTAACATGCAGATAATTTGTCCTAATAGGTTTACACGACATACATAGAAAAATAACAACTACAACAACAACAGTAACAACAGTAGACAGAATATGTTGTTTTTTTTTTTTTGTTTTTTTTTTTTTAATATTAGTATACTCACCCTTGTTCTTCAAGCATTCGTGATATTGCAGAGAGAACGACTCGATATTTGCTTGCAAAGATCTGATCTCTTCACCAACCATACTTACTTTCTGTCTCACGTTCTGTAGCCCAGTTATAAGCTAGGAAAAAAAACATTAACATAAATTTTTGACCGACTTCCCAAAAGGAGGTACTCAATTCGTCGATATGTTTTTTTTTATTTTTTTTTATGTGTGTAGTGTACATAGTCGCCGCCGCTAGTGGACCGATTTTGATAACTTTTTTTTTATCCGAAAGGTAATGCTTGCAGATGGGTCCCATTTTTTTGTTTGATTTTTGTAACGATTTGTACTAGCTGTTCCCATGCGACAATAAAGCGTAAACACACACTTCACTTCTTTGTTGCCTAAGATGTCAGCAATTACAGCATATTTTTGAATAATTCTTTTTTTTACACTTACGTCACGCTTTAGGCTATATATTGTCACGCTATTAAACTTAGGGGGTAAATATTTTGGATAACCCTAATGTGGGAAAGAGACCATAAGTTGCTGCCAACAAGAAAGCAAGGTTGTCATCATGTCATGTCATTAAGACATTTGCAATTATAATTTGACAAATGTTAACGATAAAGTTTTTATAACTTCATGCGGATGAAGCTGCACGGAAACAGCTAGTTAATAAAACATTTTTATTATATATATACAACACGAAACACTAAACTTGACTGATATAGTACCTTTCAGAGAAAGTACCAGTAAAAAAAACTGCCTCGTCTATACATTTCTTAATTCTTTGCAACATATAATACTTACCTCACTATACTTCCTTTCAGTATGAGGTTGGGCTACATAGGGTGTTCCCATCGCATTCTGTATAACCTCCATCTCTAAAGCCAAGCAACGACGCAGGTAAGCGTATAGCTTGTGAGGTTCGTGGCTAGAACAAAACAAGGTCAAACTAATATATCCCCACTTAGTCAATTTACCCCCCTTTTAGTATCACCTAACCCACTTTATCAAGCTTCTTCCGTTTATCTAACTAAATTTACGTAACCAGTTTGGTAACAAGATTTTTCACCCCCTTCATCACCGAATAGCAAACTCCTTGAACTAGCCCATCTTACTACTGACCCTCACTTGATCATTGACTAGTGGCCCTTCATTAACTAGCCATCCCTCCTGATGAAGGGGGATGATGATTCTCAGCAACTAACCCCCTTCATCATCGACGAATCCCCCATTTAATCATCAACTAGCCCCCATAAACATTAATAAGTATCCATTTCATTATTTACTACCCCACTCTTAAATATCATCTAGTCTCCCCTCTCCAGTAACATCAAGTAGCCGCTTTTAAACATTAACAAGTAACCCCCTTAAGCATTGACTAGACCCCCATAACCATC